TTCTTTCCCAAGCTGGGTTTTATTGGGGGTTAACACATGTGCTGGGCTTCCTTTAAAGAGCTGATTCCTTCATTTTGGCAAGAAAGCAGAAGGGCTGGGGATGTGACTCAGTTGGGAGTGCTTGGCTAGCATGAACTGGGTCCTGGGTTTAATCCCCAGCATTGTATAAAGGTGGGTATAAGCCCAGCACTCAGGAGGTGGAGGCAGGAGAATCAGGGGTTCAAGGTCATTCTCAGCTACATAGCAATTTCAAGGAATAGTAGCTGACTGAGAAGCAGCATTCATTCACACTCCATTACATAGGTTTGAAGAACCCTTATTTTACAGAGGAGGAAAAATCATCAATTAATCAACTCCTCAATACATTAAAGTCTCTGGTGTGAACAAGTATGTATGAATAAACCCAAACCTATAGGACTAGGCTGAAGACAATCTGCAGAGTACACAAAAGGCCCTGGGCTCCATCCCTCAAACCGCCTGGGCGGGGTGGGAACGCACAAGTCCAACAGACCAGAAATGAATGAATGATTCCCTGGCTATGCGATGCTAAGCAGGTGTCCAATACAAACACCTATTGTGATGGCAACAGTTATAAACTCTTCTAGCGGGGCACAGTCACCTGCAGGGGAAAAGGCCGGACAGGGAAACTGAGAGGTGCTCGAGAGGCACTCTCGCGGGGCGGTGCATCGCCCGGACTCCCTGTGAGCATGCGGTCTGGGACAAGACCCCCGGGGTTTGCACGCGGAGACAAGGCGCGACGGCGCCCCCTGCCGGCGCTTACTGGGATCACGCGCACTCCTGCGCTCAGCGGCAACAGCGCGGGCCCGCGCGCACCGGGCAGTAACGACGACAGCACGTGCACGCTGTAGGCGGATGGCGGCGCGGCGTCGTCTGGGTTGCGGAGCTCAGGCAGCCCCGGGAAGTCGCCGAGCAGGGCGGCCGGTACCTCGGCGCCCGGCGAGGGGCTGAGCGCGCGCAGCAGCTGTTCCCCCGGCTCGGTGGCGCCCAGGTAGGCGTCGGCCAGCACAGGCAGCTCATCCCGCTCGGCCGCACCCGTCGCGGGGCTCAGCGCCAGCCCGTCCGTAAACCCGCGCTCAGGCCCGAACAGCTCGGCGCCCAGCTCGTCTTCGGGGCCCGTCATGGCTCCGAGCAGAGCGTCCTCCATGGTCGTGGGGACCCGAGAACCGCGACCCGACCCGGCCGCCCAACTGGCCTCGACCCTGAGAGGATGTGCGGACCGTTGACCGTTAGGGACGGGGCGGGGCCAGGGCCGTGGTGGGTGGGGCCTCGGCCAAGCTGACAGCAGCCTGGGTGGTGGTGGGTGGGGCCTGTGGTGGGCGGGGCCTTGCCGTGGAGGGTGGGCTCTGGACCGTGGTGGGCGGGGCCCGAGCATGATGGGCGAGGCCTGGGCTGTGGCTGGTGGGCAGGGCCTGTAGTGCAGCCTTTCTGTGTGCTTGGATGGAGGCTGGAGGGACCGGCTCTCCAGGGATCAACCACTACTCCTGCCCCCAGTGGGGAAACTGAGGCTCCCAAGGTGGTGGTTTTTTTTTTTAAACTCCTGAAAATTTCATACGCGAGTACTGTATTTACATCATTTCCATCGGTTTTTGTTTTAAGTCAGGATCTCACTAGGTAGCGCAGGCTGCCTGGAACTCACAGAGAGATTCACCTGCCTCTGCCTCCCAAGAGTTGAGGTTAAAATCATAACTGATTCCAAGGAATTTGAAGCAGTGCTAAGCGGGCCTCCTAGCTTGACATCTGATCTCTGTCTCTCCAAGATTATTTTTAGTGTGTGTGTGTGTGCGCGCGCGCGCGCGCGTGCGTGCGTGCGTGCGTGCGTGCGTGTGTGTGTGTGTGTGTGTGTGTGTGTGTGTGTGTGTGTTGTGTGGTGCCTGAGGAGCCCAGAAAAGGGTGTTGGATCCCCTGGAACTGGAGTTACAGATGGTTGTAAGTCACCATATGGGTGCTGGAAAGTGAGTTTGGTTCTCTGCAAGAACAGCAAATGCTGTTAACCTCGGAGGCATCTTCCAGCCTATTTATCTATTCATTATCTATTTATGTATATAGTATGGGAGATTGAATTTAGGGTCTGCTGCATGCTAGGCAAGCACTCTGCCTTTAAACTTGTTACTTTGTCTCAGCCTCCCTAGCAATTGGAATTAAAGTCCTGTACCATAAGTCTTTGCTTTCAGGTTTTGTTTTTATTTACAGTTATCGTGTATGTGTGTGGATATGTGTGGATACAGCATGGCATGAGTCTGAAGGAGAGGAAAACTTTCCAGAGTGGAGAGATGATTCTCACCTTCTACTGTGTGGATTCTGAGATTGTATTGGCTGGTTTTTGTTTGTTTGTTTGTTTGTTTGTTTGTTTGTTTTTTGTTTTGTTTTGGGTTTTTCGAGACAGGGTTTCTGTGTAGCTTTGGTGCCTGTCCTGGATCTTGCTCTATAGACCAGGCTGGCCTCGAACTCATAGGGATCTGCCTGGCTCTGCCTCTCAAATGCTGGGATTAGAGGTGTGCACCACCACCGCCTGGCCTTGGCTGTTTTTTTTTTGTGTCAACTTGACACCAGGTAGATTCATCAGAGGAAGGAGCCTCAGTTGAGGAAATACCACGATGAGATCCAGCTGTAAGGCATTTTCTCAATTAGTGATCAATGGGGGAAGGCCCAGCCCATGGTAGGTGGTGCCATCCCTAGGCTGCTGGTCCTGGGTTCTATAAGAAGGTGGGCTGAGCAAGCCATGGGAGGCCAGCCAGTAAGCAGCTTCCCTCCATGGCCTCTGCATCAGCTCCTGCCTCCAGGAACCTGCCCTGTTTCATTTCCTGCCCTGACTTCCTTCAGTGATGAACAGCAATGCTGAAGTGTAAGCTGAATAAACCCTTTCTCCCCAACTTGCGTTTTTGGTCATGGTGTTTCGTCACCACAACAGAAGCCCTTAGACAGGGGTCAAACTCAGGTTGTCAGGCTTGGCAGCAAGCCTTTATACCCACTGGACCTTCTCATCAGCCGTTTTAGTTTTTCTGAGACAGGGTCTTGTTGTGTGGCTCTGGTTGGCCCGGTACTATTTAGTCCGGGTTGCTTTCCTACTTGAAGTAGTCCTTCTGCCTCAGCCTTCCTGAGTGCTGGGATTACAATTGTACGCTACTGATCTCAATTAAATTCTTTCTCCTTCCTTCCTTCCTTCCTTCCTTCCTTCCTTCCTTCCTTCCTTCCTCCCTCCCTCCCTCCCCTCCCTCCCTCCCTTCCTTCCCTTCCTTCCTAGGCTGGCCTTGAACTTACTATGTACTCCAAGTTTGATCTTGAACTTATTTTCTTACCTTCACCTACTGAGTGTTAGGATCATAGGTGTGCACCACTATGCCCAGCTTATTCGGTATGGGAATTGAACTCAGGACTTCTTGCATGCTAGGTAAGTACTCTGTAGACTGAGCCATATCCTCAATTTAGCAGCAAGAATTTCTTTGCAACTTCTCCATTCCCACATCCATGGGAAGCATTCTACACAGTGTTCTGGCAGCTTCTTCCAGTTAAAATGAGGAGAGCCCCCTATTCAGCAAGCCTCCCACTAAATGTTTAAATGGGAGACAAGGCTGACATCCTCTTGTCCACTAGACTGTCCTGTCACGATGCTTCCTATCTCCAACCTTCTCCTGCTGTCTATGAACACATGTTCCACAGCTGGAATAAGCACATCACTGTAGGGGACAGGCCAGGGAATCCTGTTGCACTAAGCCAAAATCCACCCAAGAGCATGGTAAGGAGTCTTAGACACCTACCCACCAGATACACACAGATGCTGGTGTGTCACCAAGCTGGTCAGACCATGCCTGGTAATTCTGTGCCTGATGCTGTCTCTAGTGGGTTGGTCAAAGCTGGCTCTGTCTTGTTTTGTTATTCTTGTTGGTCTTAGCTCCAATCCACTCCCAGCTGGGTCTTCTACCAGCTTCCACTCTTCACAAATGCCTCTTGGAGCTCTTGCTTTTTTTTTTTTAAATAATATTCTAAGATTTAAGTTCTAATGTGTATGAGTGTTTTGCCAGCATGTATGTCTGTGTATTATGTGCATGCCTGGTGTTGGTGGAGGTCAGAAGAGGCTATCAGATTCCCTGGAACTGGAGTTATGGGTGGTTGTATGTTACCATATGAGTGCTGGGCATTGACCCAGGTCCCTTGCAAGAGCAGCAAGTGCCCTTAACTGATGATCCATGTCCAGCTCCATGTTGTTTAATTTTATGAGACCAGGATAGTCTGGAACTCACTATGTAACCTAGGTTGGCCTCAAATCCATGTATGATCTTCCTACCTTCCCCTTCCTAGTACTGGGATTCAGGGTTCATGCCATCATTCCCAGCCTTCACTGGAGTTACAATACTTCGTTCTCCAGTTGGCTGTCTTGGACTGGAGCTGACACCCAGAACTGGTGGTGGGGAGTCGGATCTGCATTCTCAGTGCCTACAGCAGATGTTCAGGAAAGCCTGTGGAGGAAACTCAGTGTTGGACTGAGAGATGGCTCAGGAGGCAAACCACAGACAACATGAAGACCAGGTGTGCTCGCCTGTAACCCCATCACCGAGGCGGGGCAGAGTCAGGACTGCAGGGGCTTTGCTGGCTGCTTGCATAGCCAAGAAATGCAAGCCCAGGTTCCCTGTCTCAAAGGAAGGAGGCAGAGAGTGATGGAGGAGGACGCCTTTGGCCTCTGCATGTACCTACACAGCTGTACACACATGAGCATATGCCACACAGGCACACAATTACACGTTCCGAGAAAAGGAAACACATCCATCATTCATGTAACATGCGTTTACTAAGCACCTGCTGTGGCGCCAGGCACTCACAAAGGAGTGGGTGGAGAATGTGACAGCAGGCGGGCTCCACTGCACGCTGCTCCTCAGTCAAGTGCATGAACAGTGCTGTCCCCCACACTGCTGGCTCAGAAGCCAGGACACGTCATATAACCCCCAGTGATTAGTATGACGAAGGAGATGGGACAAATGCTGTCGTAGATGGGATTAATGTTTTATTAATGGTCAGCTACGTTCATTCACACATGCATTTCTAAGATTTATATCCAGACAGCATATGGTATTTACAGGCAATGGACAGATTAGGATACCGAATTCAAACCAGCTACAGTAAGACTACGTTTTGTTCAACATTAAATTAAATACATAATAGTCTTACCTCCTCCTTTTGACACACACAGTGAAAGCCCACCCTTCCGCCTTGTAAGGAGTATGGAATTGCATTGGTAACTGCTCAGGAACAGCAAGGACACTGGAAACCCGAGAGAGAGGAATGTGACGCTTGGGCACTAGCGGGGCTCCTCGGGGTAACCCAGGTTGGTCAGTGGTCATGAACAGCGACCCTCAGGTGGCTCTGACTTAGGTTTGTGTCTGCTCTTGCATTTATGTTGCCTTTTGTTTTCTTGTTTTTAAGAGGAAACAAATCTTTGGCCCTTTCAGGTGTGATCATTTTAGATTACAAAATTTGTACATGTATATGCATAAGACATGCATAAGCTGCCCAGCCGGCGCCTCTCGGCACTCTGGTCACCCCGCCCTCACTCTCGTGCTAGTGTGAGCACAGGGGCAGGGATTGAGCCAGGCCGGAGGGCACACTGAAGTGGTCAGAAAAATAAATACACGATTGAAAACACCGATAGCTAAGCTTGTCAGGACAGGATGGCAATGGGGGGGGGGGATCCATTATGCTTAAATTTACATAATACCACACAGACTTGGTGTGGGATTGCCTTGTGGTCCGTCAGGCGCTTTCAAGAAAGGCACTCCCATTGAGGGATGGCATTTAGGTACAAAGCACCCATCACTTGAGACCCCTGAGTCTGTCACCAAAATGACCTCGTCTTCTATGGAACTGAGAGCAGGCCTCCTCTCTGACTGGGTGGGACTAGAAGGTAATTCCATTGATGTCCAGGCTGTTCGTCTCCTGCTGCCTGTGAGGCTGCCTGTGTCAGTTCTGTGCCCGACTCAGTGACCACCAGCTGTCAAGCACAGCAAGCCACACCCTCCAGCTGGCCTCCAGCTATGGAGCCTTTGACTACCAAGTCCCGCCCCCCTGCTGACACATGCCTGTTGTTCTGTTGCTTAATGGAACTGGCAATGAGACTCCAGCATCACTGCCTTCACCAGGGGCCTGGTCTTCTGGGGGGAGGGGGAAGTGCTTACTTCCCTATGTAGGCAACCGTGAGGGGAAGCAACACCCTCACATATCCCCCCAAAGACTTGACAGGTAAGTCTTCCTAATGCCCCACTTCCCAAGGGGCTTCCGTCTTTAAGGCACTGGGCTTTGGAGACCCGTGAGGATGGCGACACTGAGCAAATGGTGTTTCCTGGGAATGTGGAGATTCAGATGCGGACTCCCTCAGGAATGACGCCGGGCACCCACAGCAGAACCTTAACCCCAGCCCAGGCATTCCATTAGTGCATTACGTGTGTGTTAGCGACAGCTGTTACCTCCGCTGGCTCCGAAGACTCTCTGCACAAGGGGACATTTGCACTGCCTGGGTGGAGTCAGGCACCCTCCAGTCCCAGGTATTTATAGGTTACCCCAAGGAAGTCTTGTCACCTCCAACACGTGTGAAGCTACAACCCCAATAACCCAGGAATTCACCAGCATTCGAATCCCTTCATCCAGTAGGAGCTGACTCAAAAGACTTCAGGGGACTGTGCCCAATATTCCTGGAGCCAGGGCATCCCTGGATGTCGCAGGGTGGCACTTCACACGGTGGAGCCCACTGTTGTTCTAGGGAGACAGACGGTAAACCTTCTGGAAGGAAAACTGAGTTTTAGAAGAGCAATTTTCTGCCTGTCCTACGATCAGGAGCGACACCTATTCATTTGGTTTGTATCACAAGAGTCCGTTTTCCTTCCACGTGCCTCAGGAGGGTTACTTTTTAGAATTGATGGAGAGGCCAAACAAGGTGATAATGTCCATCATGGCTTGTTTCAGGTGCTTCCCAAAGCGGTGTGAGTCCTGAAGGAAACAGAGCAGAACACCACATCAGCAGCCAGGCAAACCCCAGCAACTGAGAGGATGAGGCAGGAGCATGGACTGCATCAAGTTCAAGCCCATCCTGGGCTATAGCAAGACTGTCTTCAAAAGCCAAATGAAAGGAGCTGGGGAGATGGTTCAGTGGACAAAATGCTTGTGCAAACCTGAGGACGTGAGTTTGAATCCCCAGCACCCACATAAAAACCAAGCATGGCCTGACCTACCTCTAACCCAGCTGGGGATGGGGGCAGAGGCAGCAAGATTTCTGAAAACCTGCTAGTCAAACAGCCTAGGCCCAAACTGAGCTCCAAGTCCAGAGAGAGACCCGGTCTCCAGGGAATAAAGAGACTGATAGGATAGTTACTGAGTGCTCCCTGCACCCATGTGTGCACATGTGCGTGTGTACATGCACACACACACACACATACACATACACACACACACACACACACACACACACACACACACACACACAGAGAGAGAGAGAGAGAGAGAGAGAGAGAGAGAGAAAGAATGAATCCAGGGGGGCTCAGTGGTTAAGAGCACTTGTTCCTGCAGAGGACCCGGGTTTGATTGCTAGTACCCACATGGTGGTTCACAACCATCTATTACTCCAGACATCCCTCTGGTCCTCAGACAGCACCAAGTTCATGTGAGGCCAGAACTTGTTTACAGAGTTGTTTAAAATAGAATGGCAGAAACACACACAGACACATACACACACACTTAAGACCACTGCTACCAGCAAAGGTAGGTAAATGAAATAAACATATGTCTTTCAAATGAGTAAAATTGATCTATGTGAAAATACCTAAGCTAATAAACCTGAATTAATGTTTCTGTTAATGATGTGCTCCCTCCAAAAAGGAAATTACCCCATTTCTGGAAAAAGGAGTTCCCAATATACTCACTGTCTGAGGGCTAGAGAACTTGGAAGAAATGTGGAAGTGGATGAAATTCTCTCCCACAATAATGTACGAAACACCATAGCCATCATCAGCAACCTACAGAGAGAGAAAGGTCATTTTCATCACTAGGAAATGAGGTCATGTGTATGGGGACTTCCTGTTCTCAATATAAAACTGGGCAGCAGTGGGGCCTCACCACTGGAATCCCAGCACTGGAGAGGCTGAAGCAGCGGGTTCAAGGCCAGGCTGGATATGCAGTGAGGGGTTCAAGGACAGGCTGGATATGCAGTGAGGGGTTCAAGGACAGGCTGGATATGTAGTGAGGGGTTCAAGGACAGCCTGAGGACAGTGGGCTGGGCTTGAAGTTAGTGGGCAGGCCTGGCTATACTTACTGGTCCAAAGCCACCTCCACAGGACACATAGTCGGGGTGCTTCTCAAAGTCAAACAGCTCCACCTGCTGCTGAGGAGTCTGGCTTGTGGATAACCTCCACGGTTCAGACAAAACCTGTGACAAAGCAAGACATAGCCAAATGACACTTTCCCACCCCTCTCTCCTCCTAGTGAGCATTGCCTATCAGCTGGACACGGCTGAGAATCACCTGGTTGGGCAGGGCGCGGGTGGCACATAAAATATTCTCAACTGAGTAATTGTGTCAGCTTGGCTTGTGAACGTGTCTGTGGTTTAAGTTGTCCTAAGTGAAGCAGGAAGGCCCAGCTCACTGTAGGTGGCTCTGTTCCCTGGACAGGGTGTCCTAGTATAAGGAAGCTAGCTGGACAGAGCTGGAGAGGTGGCTCAGTGGTTAAGAGCACTTGTTCCTGCAGAGGACCCGGGTTTGATTGCTAGCACCCACATGGTGGTTCACAACCATCTATTACTCCAGACATCCCTCTGGGCACTGCACACACGTGATGCACATACATATATACATACAGGCAAAACACTAATACATGTAAAAAAATATTTTTAAAGAAAGTTAACCAAATGTGAGCCTGTGCACAGCCAGCAAGGAGCGTTCTTCCATGGTCTCTGCTTTGAGTTCCTGCTTACGTTCCAGCCCCGACTTCCCTCAGGGATGCTGTGACCTGGAAGTGTAAGCCAGATAACTCCATCCCTCCCCAAGTGGCAAGTGGTCTGAGTGTTTTATGACAGCAGCCTGAGGACCCCCAACAGGGAGACAAGGAAAAGACCCCAAGGGCTGAACAAAGATTCAAGTGTGTGAGCAGGAGGGCCTCCCCTTGCCCAAACCACCGCTCACTTAGGAGGTGGAGGACAGACAGTCAGCGGGGTCTGGGACAGTCTCTAAGAGCCACCTCTACATTTTCACGGATTTTTAAAGCTAGTTACTATATTCGGCCACCGTTAAAAGCCAGTATGGTGATGTGTAACTGTACTCCCAGCATTTGGGAGGCAGAGGCAAGAAGATTGCTAGTTAAGGCTAGCCTAGACAACAAAGTGAGATCCTGTCTCAAGAAGACAGGAAAGCCAGGCTGAACACTTCGGCGGTGGAGGGAGGTTGCAGTTCAAGGCTACCTCGGCTATGTGGTGTGTTTGAGGCCATAGAGACTTTGTTTCACAACAACAACAACAACAACAACAAAAACCCAACAACCCCAAAAAACAATCCCAACAACAAAAAAACTTAGGTTTTAGAAATCTGGATGTAGTGGCACATGATTTTAGTCCTGGCTATCTTAGGTTGCTGAGGCAGGAGAATCATTTGAACACAAGAATTTGAGAACAGCTTGGCCAATATGGTGACACTATCTTAAACTTTACATGTTTTTAAACTCACAAATATTAAGATCAAAGATGAAGCCAGGCATGGTAGTATATACCTTTAATGCCAGTACGTGGGAGGCAGAGGCAAGTGGATCTCTGTGAGTCTGAGGGCAGCCTGGTCTACAGAGTGAGTTCCAGGGTAGCCAGGGCTACATAGTGAGACCCTGTTTCAACCCCCAAAAAAAGATGACTGGAGAGATGGGCTCAGAGGTTAAGAGCACTGGCTGCTTTTCCAGAAGTCCTCTGTTCTCAGCACTCACGTGGCAGCTTGCAACCATGTGTAACTCCAGTTCCAGGGGACCTGATGCCCTCCATAAACACCAAGCATGGTACACAGCCATACATGCAGGTAAAACAGCCATACACACAAAATCATTTAAAAAAAGAACAAAAATGAAGGGCTGGGAAAATGGCTCAGTGGGTAAGAATGTTTTCTGCACAAGCAGGAAGACCCGAGTTTGGACCCCCAGCATCCACGGGAGAAACGTCAAAATGGAGCAGTACCAATGCCAGCATCCCCAGTGCTGGGTGTGGGTGCAAACAGTACTATAGGGCATTGCTGACTGCCAGTCTTGCCAAAAAAAAAAAAAAAAAATGGAGGGCTGACCCTGGAGGTTCAGTTCTCAAGGGACTAAGGTGGAGGATGACGACGGAAGATGTCTATGGTCCTCCTGTGCCACCCACATGTGTGCGTACGCTTGCTCACGTGAGTGCACACAGGTTCACACACACAGAACAAAGGTGACAGATACTCAGTGCTCATCTCTTCCTAATCCCTTCCCATGTTTTACCAGCACTCAGCTCCTGCTGTTGCTGTCAGGGGGGCCCACGCCAGCCTTTCCGAGCTGCTGAAGAAGCATGGTACCGAAGCTGCAGGTTGCATCTCCACAGGCCTATTGCCTTCTCCTCCATGCTGATGTGCAAGGCTGGAGCACTAAGATGTGTTCCCAACAAGCAGGCTGAGTGTGCAGCCTGGGGCAGGCGGCTTACCTCCTTCAGGAAGGGGGAGTCAACTGCGAGATACTTGGACACCACGTAGAGGCAGAAGAGGTGGCGGTCGATGCCGGCGCCCGTCATGGCGAGGCGGTATAGGTGCTGGTGCTTCTCACAAGCTATCTTGAACAGCTTGAGCCTCTGCTCCGCCTAAGGGTCAACAGGACAAGGGCATGCTTTGCACGGTTCTGTTGTGCCCCGGGCCACTTTCTCTTCAGTGGTCTGCAGAAGGCTGTGGGGATGTGCCAGGGTTTCATGACCAAGTGTCTTCACAGGGCCCCACCGGCCCACTATCCCTTCCTAGATTCTTGCCTCAAGAAGGGCTGCTGGGGCAGGCTGGTTGTTGGAGAGGCATCCTGTGTGTGTGTGTGGGTGGGGGGGTGTCTGCTGTGAACACAGCCCTGTGAACTAGCCAAATGTGGACCTCTCAAGCTGCGAGAGTTCTTGTTAAACCTGGAGCTCTAGCCCAGCTGTCCCTCAGTTGATTTTGTCACAGAAGATGAGTACTAACCCTCCTTGGCAATTCTGCTGAAACAGTACTGTGAGGGTCTCCATATGATCCGAATGGAATGCTTCGGGAAACTGAAAACAGGTGCTTGCTGCACAGACGCATGGGGACCCAAGCTCGTTCCTCGGGCCTTGCTGACCAGTCAGTCTAGCCAAAAGAGCAAGCTCCAGACTCAGTGAGAGACCTTGTCTCAAAATACAAGGTGCAGAATAAGGAGAAAGACACCAACAGTGACTTCTGGCCTCCATTCACACTCACCACACATACACATCCATATACGCACACCCACACACCACAAACACATACACACACAGGCTGCTTTGGGTTCTTCTGGACAGTAGAACATCATCTGAGCACCATGTGCCCTTTATTTGGAGGTATGTCGAGGCACTGACCCTGCTATGACAGACCCGGCCTCGCAGGAGCATATTGAGGAGTCTAGTGACAGATGGAGCCACTTGCCATTTTTTTTTTCCTAGAGGAAAGAGAGCCCTAGTCGGGGCTCTTGCAGCCTATTGTCTGTTGGTGGTAAGCACCTATCGGGGGCTTGGGGACCTGGGCACAGATCTGCATGTGGCCATGTGCAAGCTGGGGCCAACAGTGAACTGAATTCACCCGAGTCTACCCTTCACAAGGCTACTACAGGGCTCCTACGAGGCAGAGCACAGGAAGTCCCAGCTTTGTCTGGTAGAGCGAGCAACGGGCTCAGAAGACCCCAGGGCCAAAGTCCACTGACACCAGTGACGGTGTCGTGCTTCCTGTTCCTAGGCTATGCTCACTCTCACGTGAACGTTCTCAGTCCACATAATCTCCTTCCCAAAAGCTCAGTGGACAACACTCTGTATGTGTCCCTCCTGAACTTCTTCATGCTTTCTGTTCCTTTGCAAAGGAAAAAGCATGAGGAGCTGGGGGAGAGGAGCAGGGGGAGGAGGTGTGAGTGGAGGGGTAGAGGGCAGAGGGATGCATATGGAAGGGCAGGGGGCCTCAGGACCAGCGTTCTAGGGTCTTCCGGGAAAGCATGCACCGTACCGTGCCCTGCCACCACAGCCTTACCGTTTTCGTGGGGTCCATCATGGCCATCACGAAGTTGCAGGACTCTGTGGTGCAGGAGCGTACGGTCTCTGTCCTACCCTCTCGGAAGAGCCGCGTCATGGAGGCTTCGTACGTGAGGCAGAACTTTCCCATGTCCTAGGAAGGAAACACAGCTCAAGGCTGACAGGCTGGAGTGACCATCTACATCCACAGGGAGAAGTGGCCTGGAATGAGGCTGGGGGAGCTGGGAGTCTGTCCCCCTTTATTTAAAATTTAACTGTATGTGTATGGGTGTTGTGCCTGCATGTACATCTGAGCAACATGTATGTGCCTGGCGTCCAGAGGCCAGAAGAGGGCATTAGATCCCCGAGGACTGGAGTTACAGATGATTGTGAGTTGCCATGTGAGTGCTAGAAATTGAACCCAAGTCCTCTGGAAGAAAAGCCAGTGCTCTAAACTGTCAAGCCATCTCTCCAGCCCCCTGGATGGTCCTGGTTTCTGTTCCTAGATACGACTAAGGCCATCCACATCCACACCCCGACGAAAGCCCTCCAAGCTGATGTGAATGCTTGTGAATACGCTTAGGACAAGGCACACAGCAAGGTCATGGCCATGAGAAGATCTGAGAGACACAGGGGAGGACAGGGGCAGGAGGGCAGGACCAGGGGGATGAAGAGGAGTTCAATCAGTGTGGCCATGGACGAGACGGTAGCCCTGGGAGCTGGCAGATGCAGAAAGAAGTCCCTAAGAGAAAAGCCCGTTTTCAGGATGGGACAGAAGGGCCACCTGTGGAAGGCGGGATGGGAGGTACCAACAGCTGCTGAAGCAAGGGGAGTCTGCAGGCGGGGCTGCCGACAACTGAATGGATCCTCTGCAAAGGCTGGCCCATCCCTCCAGCCCCTATTATAAAGTTTAACTGTTCATTTGTGTATGTCTCAAACTCTTGTCTAGGATGGAAGCTACTACCTGAGAGGGATGTAAACCAAGGGTGATCTTCAGTGTGACATTCCACACCTCAGGACCTCAGAGACCTACTGGGCTGATGCTTGGTATCAGCTGCCCTCCATGCTAGGCTTCATACCCCCTCTGCCCACTAGGGAAACGGCCCAGATGCGTGTGTGTAGGACCCCAAAGTGCCCACGGTGAGCCCAGCTCCCCTCTTACCTTGTAATGTGCCAGCTGCAGCGCCAGCTGGATGAAGGCATCGGGGCTCGTCCGGCACTTCTTGATCAACCCTTTGCCAAAGGTGTCGAATGGGAAGGAATGCAGGTCCACATCATTTGCCAGGAGAGTGGCGCTGCTCAGGGAAGCCTCAATGACCTCCTGACACTGTGGAGAAAGAAGCAGGCGCTGCTCAGGGAAGCCTCGATGGCCTCCTGACACTGTGGAGAAAGAAGCAGGCCCTGCTCAGGGAAGCCTCGATGACCTCCTGACACTGTGGAGAAAGAAGCAGGCCCTGCTCAGGGAGGCCTCGATGACCTCCTGACACTGTGGAGAAAGAAGCAGGTCCTGCTCAGCGGGCAAGCCCGGCAGGACCAAGTTTGCAGATGTGCATTTCACCTTCTCTGGGATTTTTCTGGAAAGGCCACCTGGAAGCCCCAGTGAGGCAAAGGCACAGCATCTCTGCCTCACTCCTGGGGAGACCCAGTCAGGAGCCACAGCTCCTGCTGCCCTTGAGACTGTCCCAGAGTTCAGCAGAACAGTCCTTCAAACGCGGCAGGCAACACCATCCCAGCAGCTAGGGCTGCGTGGAAGAAACTGCCGAGGCGGCCCCTCCCCCACGCCCAGGTCCTTGTTCGGAGGGTCTAGAGAGGGCAGCTACTCTCTGCCTCTGATAGGACGATGGCCCTGCTCTTTAAGGATAAGGTTTTCTTTGACAGCAGCTTCAGGAGGGACTAACAAGGAAGAGTAATGAAGGAAGGGGACACCTGCCTAGCCAGCCAGATCAGAAGAATTAACACTGGAGATCACTTAGGTGACAGATGTCATAGCCAGTGTACCCTCACATTCCTTGTAGCCATTTGTATGTGATTCTGCCCCAACCATAAGTGGCCTTTGTCCCCTTGGAAGATGCTAGACTACGTGGGTGACGGAAGGGTACCAGAAAGTAGAACTCCATCTATAGGGCAATGGGGGAGCCATCATCCATGGTGAGTCAGATCTTCTTCTGGCACAGCTGCTCTTGGGGCCACACGCTCCTGGAAGCAACCTTCACCCAGGCTCCATGAGCAAGCCTAATAAACTCCGACTTTGGTGGGACCATACTTTGATTTGCCACTGGGGTCTTTGAGGGGCAGACTCTGTGTCTCCCCAGGGACAGACTTCTCCCAACAGACACTGAAGGTAGCTCCAGCTGTGGGTCCGTTGCACAAAGCAAGCTCATTTTGAGGAAGATGTTCCATAGAAGGGGGCATGAAAGCATCTTCTGGACTCGACAGGACGGCTGTGCTCATGAACTCACAGCAGCTGCGGCCGCCTGCACACACGCAAGCCGGTTAACACGCTAGCATGGATGGGCGAGGGGCTCGTGAGGCCCCACCTCGCGCTGAGGACTTCTTGGCTGCTGGGAGTGGAACTGTCCTTTCTCTTTAGGGGTGAGGCCAATGGGAGGTTCCCTGCTCTGGCGTCCAGCCCACACCCACGAGCACACGGGGAGCACTAGTGGACTCTGGGCTGCTGTTATTATTATTTTATAGAGAATCTGGAGCGGTGGCTCAGCAGTTAGAGTGTGTACTGCTCTTGCAGAGGACCCGAGTTCAGCATCCGTATCAGGTGACTCACAGCTACTTGTGACTCCAGCTCCGGAGGATCTGACTCTTCTGGCCTCCAAGGGCACCTCACACACACACACATAACCCACAAGGGCATAGACCCATATAATTAAAAAGTAAAAATTTAAAAGAGGCCATGAGGTTGGGAGGAAGATGTGTCAGGGAGGACCCAGGGGGAGTTGGAGGATTGGAAATAATCAAAATATATTGTTTACATGTGTGAAATTCTAGAAGCATAAATAATATTACTTTTTAAAGGGATCAGTGTTTGCCAGGGGCTAGGAGGGGGGTGGCGGCAGGGGGAGGCCACGGGGTGTTTAAAGCAGTGACCGCTGTCTGATGCTGTGACAGCAGACACAGGACACACATGACTGTCCAAGCCTACACAACCTATGCCACCCAGATAACCCAGTGTAAACAGGAATCTGGTGATTAGCCAGGACGCTTCACAGGCAGACCACTCTGCTAGGGATGCTGAGCAGGGCTGGCTATGTGACACCCAGGAAATACCCACATCACCCTCTCAGTTCTGCCGAGAACCCAACACTGCTGTAACGTAAGGTGTGTTGGGGAGACCCTGTGATTGGTCAGCCCCGGCCCCAAGGTCAGGTTTCTCCATGGATCCCATACTGCCCTGGGACCTGAGAGCACTGGGTCTAGAACTTTACCACATGAGAGAGTACTTCTCAGGCTCCAGAAATTCCTACAGGCTGGGATGATCCAACTCTACCCTCCCTTCTTCCCAGGACTTCTATAAAAAAAATCTCTTTATTGTCCTTTAAAAATAATATTATTTATGCTTCTAAAATCTCACACATGTAAACTGCAGTTCTGAATCTTGTTGCTTTTTGAGACAAGGTGATAGTGGTTCTCCTGCCTCAGCCACAGGGGCAGGGATGACAGAAGTAAGCCACCCTAACACAGCCCCAAAATATCTATGGGGAGAAAATAATGTGTTTTTTTTGGAGGGGGGGGGGTTGAGACAGGGTTTCTCTGTGTAGCTTTGCGCCTTTCCTGGAACTCACTTGGTAGCCCAGGCTGGCCTCAAACTCACAGAGATCCACCTGCCTCTGCCTCCCAAGTGAATGTTTTAAGTTTTAAATATTATAAATTATCCATCTGGCAGCGGGAGGATGTAGCTCATTAGGTAGAGAGCTTGCCTAGCTTGCATGAAGCCCTGGGTGCCATCACCAGAACCAGGAAACCATGGTGTGGTGAACACCTGTCATCCCAGTAGAGGATCAAGGTTGCCCTCAGGTACAGAGCAAGCTACAGTCTAGCCTGGGCTACATGAGATTCTGTTTCAAAAAAGTAAAAATTTAAAAAACCACTTAGAGGATTTCAAGTCAACATGACTTAGGTTTTTTTGTTTGCTTTTCAAAACAGGGTTTCTCTGTGTAACTCTGGCTGTCTTGGAACTCGCTTAGTAGACCAGGCTGCCCTCAGACTCACAGGGATCTGCCTGCCTCTGCCTCCTGAGTGCCGGGATTAAAGGGCATGTACCACCACTACCCAGCTATGATTTATGTTTTTATCCTTATTTGCAGGGAATTTGCAGAAGCTCAGTGACTTCATAGCTGAAATCTCAACCGAGAGCTGAAAACTGAAGCCCCATTTCCCTCCGCAGCCCAGGCCCCTTCTCCAGCTCTGGGCAAACAGCTTTCCCTCTGTTGGGAAGAGCGCTTGCCTGTCAACAGAGCTTGGGACCACTTCAGGAACATCATGGGAAAATAGCCTTCCGACCCAGGTGAGGATGCTCTAGATCAGCAGGCTTACCTCTCCTGGGATATCCCACTGGAGCCTGGTGGGTTTGGGAATACTGGGGTTGGTGTCTCCTCTACAATGTCCATCCTCTGTGTAGCCCAGCTGGAAGACGTCGGTGGCCATGACATACTGAGGAGAAAGAAGAGAGAATGAAAACTCTAATGAGCACAATGTCTCCTCCATGCTCAGCACAGAACACATCTGGGACCAGTCTTGGGAGTGAGGGCAGCACCCTCCCCAGTGCCCACCAGCTGGGTGGTGGGTGCCCATTTCAGTTCAAAACACACACACACACACACACACCTTAAAAACCCCAAAGGGCAGGGACTGGGAAGCTCTCAGACAGTGGATGTGTGGTTTCTAGAGGTCAGGGAGGGTAAAACGGCTCCAACCTCACTGCAGGTCACATCCTCTGCATCTCCGGTGTCCACCTGCACAGCCTTTCTGTGTCCTCTGTAATACCAGAGAAGTGCAGGCTTTCCCAGGATGCTGCCTCAGCTGTGTCTGCCTCTACCAGGCTTCACATCTCAGAATCAGCCCCGTGGCAACGTGAGACAGCCTCCAGGATGAAAGCCAGGTCCCCAGCACTCTCCCAGGCACCTGGGCTCCATTTAAGAGGCCCCATCATTCCATCCAGTGGACAGAAAACTAAACACTGATTCCACTTGTATCCTTGGCCTAAGGCTTCACCTCCTTAACCTTATCTTGATCAGACTTACTTTACAATATTAGCCGAGGGGCTGGAGATGACTCAGCTGATAAGAGTCGGGTTGCTGCGTGCTGCTCTGACAGGAGTTTGGGGATTGGTTCCCAGCTCACAGTCACCTCTAACTCCGGCTCCTAGGGATCTGCCTTTTTGGTTGCTGCACGTACTGTACGCATACGCACACAATAAACCTTAGACTCAGGCAGACCGGGTGGATATCTTAACAGACTTCTCTTCTTTTTCCATGCTTTTGGATTTTTGTGTTGTCTGTTTTACTATGTGGCCCTGATTACCCAAGTTTTCAGTAATCCTCCTGTCTCAGCCTCTTAGGTGCTGGAATTATAGGCATGTGCCACCATTTGTCCTCTTATGTTTACCCTTGACAACTGTGATCTGTGTGTTGCAAGCTGCCTGGGCCCCACAGACCTTCGACAGCCAGCAACAACTCTCTGCAAGTGTTATGTGCAAAGTCCCTGGGATGTGCTGGCCTATACTACTGGGCTGTGCAGAGCTTCCCAGGAGAATGTGTGTGAGCTGCAGTGTCTGGGGGCCAATGGAGATGAGGCATCTGCACATATGTACATCTGGGCTGACCAAGTCCACATTTCTGCTGGCATCAGCTCAGGGCCTGGCAGGGACATAAGCCCTTGCGCGTCACCATTTGGAGTCTGTGTGTTAGAACTGCACTGGTGTCTTAAAGCTCCCAGTGCCTGGTTCTCCTTTTCCATGTGGGAAAGCGTCCGTTGCTGAATCAGCAGCACCTGGAACTTTGCCAAGACTCCAAGCAGAGGTCAGAGCATCTGAGAGATGAGAGAAGGTGAGACAGGTGCCGCTAACCTCGTGGGAGGGGGGTATGCTTCGGGGAAGTGGGGGAGGGGAGTCGGGTCAGCTAGTCCTAAAGAAGATTTCTCCCCTCCAGAGAGAGGGCAGAGCTCACGGCATGTACTCTGCAGTTGATTTTGCACCACAAGAAAAGAAATCCCAGGCACAGCACTTTTGGGTGTGGCAGCGTGCAACTGTGCTCCCAGGAGCACTCTGGAGGCTGAGGCAGGAGGATTGCCCTGAATTGGAATTTGACCTAGGTTAAATGGTGAGACCCTGGAGAGAGGAAGGAAGAGAGCATCCCTCGTCTGAAATCTAAAATCTTCCAAAACTTTAAACTTTGTGGAGAGTTGTGTTAGCATTTAAAGTGTTTCTGATTTCTGGAACACAGAGCCTGACTGAGAAGCAGAAGGACGTTCTCCTTTGCTTTCTCTTTGCCTCTCCGTTTTGAGAAGGGTTTTGTTTTGTAGTTCAAGCTGTCCTCAAGCTCCTGATCCTCCTGCCTCAGCCTCCTGGGTACTAGGGTGACAGTCACATGTCCCCACACCCAACTCTGTATTTCTGAAAGCTGGGTTGGGAGAAAGGAGGGGCAGAGATCTGGTGGTCTTTAAGTCTTAAAGTAATTTTAGGTTATTTTAGTAATTAAATGTTTTCAGTTGGGGCTGGAGGGATGGCTCAGAGGTTAAGAGCTCTGGCTGCTCTTCCAAAGGACATAGGTTCAATTCCTAGCATCCACCTACAGCTCACATTGCCTGTAACTCTCGTTCCAGGAGACCTGGCACCCTCACACAGACATACATTTAGGCAAAACACCAATACACATAAAATAACAATAAATAAATCATTAAAACGTGTTTTAAAAAGCTGGCACACACTTTTTCCCCCGCCTTGAGACAGGATTTCTCGGTGTAGCCTTGGCTGTCCTGGAACTCACTCTGTAGACCAGGCTGGCCTCAAACTCACAGAGTTTGAGGCCTGAAAGATCTAAGCCATATTTTCCCTCTTATTTTTTTTTAAGATTTTTTTTTTAATTATGTATAAAGTGTTCCACCTGCATCCATGCAGGCCAGAAGATGGCACCAGATCTCATTACAGATGTTTATGAGCCACCATGTAATTGCTGGAAATTGAACTCATGAGCTCTGGAAGAGGAGCTCTTAACCTCTAAGCCATCTCTCCAGCCCAGTGCACACTTTTAATCCCAGTACTTGGGAGGCAGAGACAGGAGGATCTCTGTGAGTTTGAGGCCAGCCTGGTCTACATAGTGAGTTCCAGGATAGTTAGGGCTGTTGATATACAGAGAAACCCTGTCTAACCGCCCCCCCCCACCACACACACACAAAATAAGTTTTCAGTAAGATACATCACCTTAAATTTTTTAACTTAATTCGTAATTTTATTATTCTGATGTGTGTGAGTGCACACACGAGGCATTCCCCTTCTACCTTCATGTGGCTTCAGGGATTGAACTCAGATCATCAGGCCTTCATGGCAAGTGCTTTGCCCTGCTAGTGTCTCTCTGGCCACTGGCACATCACCATTTTATAAGCTAAGACTTTAAACCAGACCTGGTGGTACTGCCTATAATCTCTGATACTCAACAGGTTGAGGCAGGAGGATTCCAGGTCTGAGGCCAACCTGGCAACAGAGTGAGTTCGAGTCTAACATGTTTGATTTAGTGAGACCTGGTTTCTAAAATAACGGCTGGGGTTGTTGCCTTGGTGTGGAGTGCACTGCCTAGCGTGTGTGAGGTCCTGGGTTTTATCCCGGGCAACCCCCCTCCCCCCTCACACAGCCAGATTTTAATATGCACCTTTCTGTTTGCCCTCAAACTAGGGTAAATGGGGAAACCAGGAAGTCTAGCAATAAGTTTATTATTTCAGATCAAGCTGCGTGAGCTGAGAACCACAGTGTGACTTCGGCTGCATCACGAGACATCACATGTGCCTATACTCAAGGAACCTAAGTTACAGGAAACCAAGGCTCAAATGCCTTTAACTCCCTGTGTGGCACCAACACCAGTGAAGGACGCTGTGCTGTGGTGTGAATGTAAGAAGTCCCCCACAGGCTGGAGTGTTTTAACACCTGGTCCCCAGCTGGCGGTGCTATTTTGGGTGTTATGAACTTTAGTAGGAGGAGTGCGTTACTGGGAGCAGGCCTTGAGGTCCACAGCCAGGGCCCTGCTTCCTGTCTGGTGTCTGCTTCCTGGTGTACTGGGAAGTGAGCACGCAGCCCCCACACGCCACTGCCACACGGGGTATGGCCTCTCAAAGCCTAAGCTAAAAGAAATCTCTCCTTCCTTCCTATCAGGTATTTGGTCATGGACCAGAGGAGGAGACAAATACAGCCAAGTTCAGGCGGGTCTGGGTGGGTTTCCCAGAGCACCTTCCACATCCAGCCATAGGTAAGAACGGCGTGGCTCACCTCCCACAGATGGCCCACAATGGGCGCGTCCGCCCAGGAGTGCTCTGCGTTCATTCCTATCTTGCTGTTTTTGAAGACAACAAACGTGAGGGACTTGTCAAACCACCTACAGAAGAAAACGCCATCAGGGTCTCCAGGGCTGCATCAACACCCAAGCCCCAAAGCCGTGTGTCTTTCTGCATCGACCAATGGCTTCCCCCCACCCCTGACAGTTCTCCAGGTTTCTACACCCCAGCAAGGCGATAATAGAGGGACACACCGGACACAGAGTCATTCATATCTTCTTCTACCAGAGATAAAACGCAACCTGTGTGTCCTGGGACCAGAGCAGTGCAGACTACCGTAACCCTGGGACTGGCACATGGCCTCTCCAGCCAGGCCCGGAGGCACCTCCTCCTCCTCCTCACTTTGCCACTCTGGAAAGGGGATCCGGGAGGGCAGGACCACAGCAGCTGCACAACCACAACCAAGGCCAGCGCTCGCTCCTGGGACTGACCCCCCTCTGCCCTGTGTGCCCCTTTCTGCTGGGAGCCCAGTGACCCACAGTTAAGAGACGTGATGGGGCAGGCAAAGGAAGGGACCACAAATCCATCGGGCCTGGGCTGTGGGTGGAGGGAAGCAGGGTTGTGTTTTGATGCTCATCCCTTCAGAGACCAACCCTTGGGGTGGGGTCAGACTCCAGGAGGTTGCTCCAAAGCACACCCAGGAACATCTCCCACAGCCCCCATCAACCTTGGAGATTAAAGGGAGGCGGTACCTGTCAAAACATTTGCCATGCAGCAGAGACTTGGCGTAGCTGTCTATGGATGCCTCCGGGTCCTCCTTCCTGTAACCCTGCTCCGATTCGTCCAGAGTCACAAAGAACGCTGCCTTTTCCACCGCATCCAGGGACTGCTTATTTTTCCCACGTGCAAAATAGGTCTGCCGACACTTTGCCCAGGGCACTCTGCGGAAGAAGGAAGCGCATCTAGAGACGGCCGCCCTGGGTGGGCAGACGGCTCAGTGGACAACAGTGCTCGCTTGTTAGCACGAGCACCCGATTTCACCCCGAGCCCTCACAAAAGAGCCAGGTGTGGTGGGACATGCTCCCAATCCCAGGTCTGAGGAGAAAGTCAGGCTCCTCAGGGCTCACTGGCTAGCCAGGCCACCCAAACTGGCATGCTCCAGGCTGGTGAGAGACCCTGTCTCCAAAATCAATGGGGATGGCGAGTGCCTGAGGAACAATGCCCTAATTGTGTGTGCGGGAGCATGCAAGTGCACACACACACTTGACTGGGCATGGGATTTGGATTAAATCAATAAACACTCAGAATGCAGTCCAGCCTGTTTCTGCAGCTACCAGGGAGGGGCACCCTTCCCTGCCCCAAACACCCCCCAGCAGAAGCCACAACAAACGCCAAAGGACCTGGCCCCGGAGCCAGGCTCTGCCCTGAGCCTCTCTCAAGCCTGAGTCCACTGATGTCTTCAGCACCTTAGACCCATCTTTCAGATGAGGAAACCCGAGGCACAGAGAACAGGCCACAACTACTTTGGAGCAGGAAGGAGTGAAACCATCTGGCCCCTGAACACGGGTCACATGATACTCCTAAGATGATCATCCTGTGCCTACCACCCAGTTGAATTCGGTGTGAGGCCCATGTCCCTTCAAAGACCCTCTGTGGTAGCTTCCTCCCATTGCTCCTGGGTCCCTCACTCAGTCCTCAGCCTCCAGGCCCTCTATGATACCTCCATTGCCCACCTCTACCCCACTCTCTGGCAACCTTTGGTGTCAACACCCACAAATGCCACAGGTCCCCAGGGCACCCAGCCTTCAAGGCAGGAGATAAAACTGGTTTTCCTTCTCAGGCCCAGGCTCCAAATGTCAAACAACACACAGCCTGTTTCTCCCGAGTACCTGGAACAACTGTTTCTTAACGCGCTTGCCCCTGGCCTTGGCTCCTGCAGCAGTTTGGAGAGCAGCTCTGTGGAAGACGGTCTTTTGTGAAATGTCGGGACTTTTGACCTCACAGAGCAAAATCTCCTCCCCACTCTCTTGGTCCACCTGCTCCTTACTGTGCTCAAGCAGGGCACAGGGCAGTTTCTCTTTCCCTGTGAGTCAGAGACTCTTACCTGATCCCTTTGCTCTCTTAGAGCTGGCCTTAAAGACAGACTCACTGGGTAGTGGGCAGAGGGACTGCTCAGTGGTATGAGGATCTGTGGCCTTCACCTAACATCCTAGAACTGAGGAGGTGGAGCCTTCACCTCTACCATGTGCCCTTGGGTGGCCCTCCCTGCCCACACACACCTGATGCCATGTGCTGAATTCAGCTGCCCTTGTGACCCACCGTCTAGCGGCCCCCGAGACTGGACATCATGAAGCAACACTGGGTGGCACTGCTGGCATCCGTGGGGGCGGACCTCATGAGGAAGAGCTCCTCAGAGCACTACAAAGCCCAGACCCAGGAGGGGTCTGCAAGGCCACACACCTGTCTGAAGCAGTGAGGGCGGCCAGCTTGGCTTCCCCGGGCTGAGGCTCTGAGGCGTCATCCAGGATGTGCTGCATCTGTTGCTCCAGCTCTCGGGGCCTCAGCAGCCTCCCGTCATGGTAGAGCCAGACCTTGAAGTAGCGCCCCCTGTGGTACACCACAACGTGCCGGCTGTCCTTGATGTGCTGGATGGTGTCTGAGGCAGTGAGGACACAAAGGGAGAGGAGGAGTTAGAAGGCCTTGGTGGGAGCCGCAGATCCGAGTGTTCGTTTGGCTGGACTCAAACTCCCTATATAGAAAACCAAGAGGCCTTGGATGATCCTCCGGCCTCTACCTCCTGATGTCCTCTGTAGTGTGCATCTTTGAAGGGCTTTTCAAATTTTTAAAAATTACACTCATTCACTTAACTTGTGTGGGTCCTCAAGCATGTGAGGACAGGCATGCCACAGTACACATGCACAGGGCAGAGGACAACTTGTGGGAGTCAGTTCTCTCCTTCTACCACAAGGGTTCCTGGGATCAAACACAAGTACCAGGCTTGGGGACAGGCACAGTGATGTGCTGAGCCGTCTTGCCAGCCCTGAAGGGTATCCTTGACTCCAGTGCCCTTCTCGAGCTCTGTGTCCTGGCTGACAGAAGGTAAGCACTCTGCTCCCTCATGTGCTTCTGCATCCCATGATGCTTTGCCTTCCCACAGCCCAGAAACAATGGACCTGGCACCATGAGGCCGACTAATCATTCCTCTCCTAAGTGGTTTTGCTCCGGTATTTTGTCACAGTGCTAAAAAGTGACCGATACTGTACACTTGAACCCTGCAGGTCTGCATGGTACCAGCTGGTATCCATTCCCCCTCCCTATCTTTTCCAAGGATGTCTTAGGTTGGAAGGCAGATTATATGACCACGTTGCCTGGGCCAGGAGGCCAACAGCAAGAAGCTGGGCCATGATCCAGCTCCTTGAGCATCGGTATTTTATGGCAAACCCTGCATGTGGGTCAAAGTAAGATGTCCAAGAGAATATTTCAGCAGGTCTAGGGAAAATGTCCAGTGAACAAAACTCTGAGCTGAAGAAATATTAAAATCTGGAACTGCCCCATTGTCTAGACCTAGTAAAGACAACAGGAATCCAGGACGGAGTTGGGGTTCAGTTGGTAGTATACTTGTCCAGTGTGTGTGAAGCCCAGGGTTCCATTCCACCAAATACTCCCAACAGTGACACATGCCTGTAATCCCAGTGGGAGGCAAGAGGATCAGAAACTCAAGGTCATCCTCAACTAAATACTGTTTTAGGCCATCCTGGAACACACGAGATCCTGTTCCCAAACCATTATCAATGACAGAAAACAAAAGGATTCCAAGAGGAGGAACATTCAGAAATGGAAGCTCTGGGGAAAGACCCTGCCGATCATCCTGCCCTCAATGTCCCCCAGTGTTTCCTGGTTCTGAGCAGCAGAATGCCAAAGCTGGGTCCCAGGGGAGCCCCAGTGAGCACCACCCACCTGTCTCCTCCCCGGGTATGCGGGAGGTGTTAAAGAGTCTCTCCCACTGGGCCGAGCAGAGCGGAATTGTGGATCCCAGAAGACGAATCTGTAATAAAAGTGTGTTTTAAACCAACAGGCAAAAATCCCCCAGGAAAACTTGAAACGGAGTTGATTAAAATGCTATTTCCTGTGCATACTGCCCAGTCTGACTTCACCATCTCCCGCTGTCCCCTGGGGTGGTACCTGAGGGACTTGCTGGGCTGTGCCAGGGCACTGAAGTTCCCTCCAGAGAAACACTTCAGCCACCCGAGGTTATGAAAGAAATGGTTCTCCTGAGTAGTTCACCAGCTTGTCACACACATGCGCAGGAGCTGGTTCTCTCTTCCCCCAGGGATTGAACACATGTGCTCAGCCCTCACTGGGTCTCTCACTGAGCCTGGGGCTCCCCGGTTAGGTCCATTATCGAGACCCAGCTATTTGCCTATCTCTGGTCCCCAGTGCTGGGGTTCCCACCATGCACCAATGCGTCTGCCTCGGGGACACTGTGCCAGCTCCTCATGCTCTTCTCAAAGCCAGCCCCTTATTGTCACCTGAGCCCAGCTCTCCAGCCTCCCAAAAGAATGTTTTAAAGGGAAGTTTCCTTACGGGTTTGAGTTCCTCACGGTCCAGCTTGCGACGATACAGCAGCATGGCGTGGATAGTGTTGCCGGCTCTGGCCGCCTGAATGTGGGTGGGGGTGATGTACAGCATCTCCTGTGAGGGAGGTGACAGCAGAGAGTGAGTGTTCATGGGGACGGCATGGTGATTTGCACACATGGTGGAGGCCCTCCCTCCATGACACCAAGGTGTTCCTACAGCTGTGCTCAGTTACAACCACTTTTTATGTTTGTTTTGGGTTCTGGTGTTTTGAGACCAGGTTATATGATGCTCCCGGGTTCCTGAGAGCTAGGATCAAAGGCATGTGTCACTATGCCGACTTTACAACTTAACAAATTGTTGTATGAGTTCCCCGTATTTAGACAGCTTTGTTATTGCTTTACGTCCATTTGTGGGTTTTGGCAGATTGGATTTGTTTTTTCTTTATGTGTCTATGTGTGTCTGTGTCTGTATGTGGTTAAGTGTACATGTGTGTGCAGGTGCCCAGCGAGACCAGAAGAGGGTACCAGATCCCCTGCAACTGGAGTAACAGATGGTTCTGAACCACCTGACATGAATGCTGGGAACGAACTTGGGTCCTTTGGAAGAGCAGCGAGTGCTCTTAAACTGCCACCTCTTCAGCCCCAAGGAGGGCCTTGAACTCCATGTGTAGCCAAGGATGACCCTGAACTCCTGATCCCCCTGTCTCCAACTCCCCAGTGCTGGCCTGACAGGCATGAGCCACCACAAGAGGCTCTAAATTTGTTATTTGATCTATTCTAACCCCAGCCTCCATCTGTTCCTGGGCTATAAATGCCAGCAGGATTTTGCTGGGCATGGTGGTGTACACCTTTTCTACCACAGGTTCAAGGCCAGCCTGGGCTTACTAAGCAAGTGCTGTTTGCCATGAAGGTGCACTTTGCAATACAAAGGTTTCTGTACTGTTGGGTGGAGGGCAGGGACCCCACAGGCACAGGGGATCTAACACACAGGCCCCAGGTCGGAGCTTCACAGCAACATGAAGTTGTGGACAATAGAAGCAGGAGCAAGAGGAGAGGAATCCACCCCAAGCTTCCCCAGGCGGCCAGCAGGGCTGTCCAGCACAAAGCACACACCTTGGCTGCAGGAGTCATGGAAGACCAACTCACCATGGCATAGTAGTTGCTGTTGACCATGAGCGGCCCTCGGCCTCGCAGGTAGATATATTCCTCCCACCAGTCACTCACCTACGGTGCAAACACAAACAAGACAGAGTCCTGAGCAGCAGCCACACAGCTGCCCTCCCAGGATCAGGCTGCTCTATATGTACACAGAACTTTCTGGAAGAGTCCTGCTCCAAAACAAAGCTGTCTTAAGCAGACAGGACACAAGAAGAAACACATTGGTCTTAAGGGGAGACCTGGCTAGACAGTAGAATATCATTTAGCATTCACTTTAAAAAGTATCAGGGCTGGGGATGGAGCTCAGCTGCTAGAATGCTTCATCCCTAGCATGGCACAGAACTGGGCACAAAACCGTACAGTGGTACACACACAGGCAGGGGGATCAGGAGCTCCAGGTTAGAGCAAATTCAAGACTGCTGTGTAGCAAGTTTGAGGCTAGCCTGGGAGCCCCATGAGACCGTGTCTCCAAACAAGAGTAACTGCCAAAGTGCCCTGGCTGAGAGTGGGGTACAATGTTACATGCTTGCCCGATATTTACCAGGCCTTGGGTCCCATCCCCAGCACTGCAGAAAAAACAAAACAAAACAAAACAAAAAACACAAAAAACCCCACAGATGAGCCCACACCTCCCCAATGATCAATCTTCCTCTTCCTGATGCCTGGGTCTGTCCCAGAGCTACAGCAATAAGCCAGAGGTCAGCATGGGTTGTCTTTACTCTCCAGAGTGACCGTCACAATGCCACCCTGAGCTGCCCATTCACAACCCGTGCTGATTTGAGCACTGTGTTGAGGTACACTGGGAAAGGGTATGCATGAGAGTCTAGGTACACAGAAGTCCAGCAGGCCTATGATGAAAACCAGAACCAGTTCTCAGTGATGAGTATGGCTGCCCTCAGCTACAGTTAGAACTCCGTGAGTCCTTCCACACCAAAATATCTCATTGAGAAAAGATCTATGAGGAAAGATTCAGGTGCAGAAATACTTACATAATTTGTGGCCCACCAGGATTTTAGCTTCAAATACCACTGCAATTTGGGTCCCAGATTGACAGCAAAATCCTGGGCCAGCGCAGTCATGCGTTGGAAGTCTCCTTCCTTCATCAACGGCCTCACAGATTCCAAGTACTGCAGCGAGAAAACATGGGCTGAGTTAGATAACCACCCCTGAGCCATGGACCACTTCACACACCTCAGAAAGTTAGACCATGTAGAAAAGATTGGGGAAGCTTCCCTAGGCTGGCCTGCCCTCTCTACAGACAAGACAACCCCCTGCAGGGCAGGTGAGCGACAATCAAGGTCACTGCTTCCTCATGGAGGAGGTATCAAGACATCTCTCAACCACTATTTGGCCGTTACTTCAATGATGACCTGAGATGGTGTCCTAAGATGGGTGGGACAGCCCTGACAGCCCAGTGAGGGTAAGGCAGGTGCCCAGACAGAGCAGGACAGGACCATGGTTCCAGGGTCTAGACCCTTGGTTCAGACAGACTGACAGGCACACACCTTGAACACATTTGGAGGTAAGACACACAGGAATATCTCACACACCATCTTTTCTTTTTTCTTTTTTTGAGACAGTGTCTCATGTAGCCTAATTTGGACTCAAACTCACCATGTAGCTGAGGCTGGCCTTGAACTCCTGATCCTTCTCCTCCTTCTATCTCCCAAGTGCTAGGATGACAAGCATGTGCCCCCATGCCTGGCTAAGCACGACTTTTTCTAAGAACCCCAGAGGCTCCCCCAAAGAACCTGTACCCCGAGTGAGTTCCAGGAAGCAGAACTGCCATCAGATCTGATGATTCAGGAAACAAAACCAGGTTTGGAGCTGAGTGTGACGTACAATACCTATAATCCCAGCACTTAGGAGGTAGAGGTAGGGGGAATCTCTGAGAGTTCAAGGCCAGATTGGTCTACATGGAAAGTTCCCGGCCAACCAAAGCTACATAGTGAGACCCTGTCTCAAAAGAAAAAAACAGGCCGGGCGGTGGTGGCGCACGCCTTTAATCCCAACACTCGGGAGGCAGAGGCAGGCAGATCTCTGTGAGTTCGAGGCCAGCCTGGGCTACCAAGTGAGTTCCAGGAAAGGCGCAAAGCTACACAGA